GGTAGTCACAGTCAGAATCTGTAGCAGCAATTTGTAGATAATATTCTGTTGCACAAGTGGTGGTTCTGGGGGCAGGACAAAAAACTGTCGAATGTGGGAGTGCAGTACAGCCAGTTTAGAGTTGCTAGCTGGAGCCATAATAAGGCTATAGGAGCTTTTTGGAATGAATAGCTGTTCAATCTGCCAGAGTAGTTCTATGGTTGAGCAGGCAGGATTCCTGCCTAATCCGCAAGGGGATCTAGTTTCTTGGCCTGCCTCAGCCTTCCTAAAAGTCTGCCATGCCACATGAACAAGCAGCTCGCTAGAACACGAATTCGTTAGGAAAAAGTAATGTATTAAAACTTGATTCATCTAAATCTCATGCTTTAAAAAATGAATTTAATTTTCAAATTACAAAAAAACCTAATACATTAAGCAACATTTCATTATCCAATGCTACCTTAAGCACTCCTTTAAAACATAACTAATCACTGTACATATACATGTGTATGAATGATTGATTTTTACCAGGGCTTTTACTTATTTGCTTTTTAAGGTCAGCATATTTCAAAGGAAAAAAATGCATGGAAAGCTTGACTGATAGCTGTCCTTTCCTTCATTTTTTTTTTTAAATGCAATTCTTTGTCATCACTTGTGCATCAACATCTGCTGATCTGTAGAAATAAACTCTCAGCAAGATATTACTCACAATAACTAGGTTTAATATAAACCCCAATATGAGGAATGTTTCCTTTCCCCCAGTGGTCAGTCCAGAATTGTGACATTTCCATTAGTCCTAATAAAGGTATTGATATATCATGAGTTTCGTAAATAGGACAGTTTAGAAATGTTTTCGCCTTTCAGTGTAGGATCAGCCCTTCATTCGTTTTTGTTTTCCCCCAATTATATTTTATTAAGTTTTAATATTTTTAACATATACAGTCAAAATACAAATTTCTCTTTCTTTCTTTTTGACTTCTCACTCCTTTTTTCATGGAGTTGTTGTTTCTCCCCTTCTGCTACACCCTATCTTCTGTCTTATCAAATCATAATCACAATACTATGATCTAATTACTTCTGTTGTTCATAGCTCAAATCCTGCTTGCGACTTCATCATACTATAACATTTCTTTGAATGGTTCAAAAAAGGCATCCGTCCTTCCATAAAACACCTTCATTTGTTTGCCTTCTCCTTCCTTCCTCTTTCTAATCTAGTGCTTCCATTTCCTGCACATTTAATAGGTGTGTAGAAGAGGGGATTTCACCAGATGTAGCTGGCATGACAAGCTGCAACTGCTGGAATTTCTTCTTCAACACGTCTATTCAACATGCAGGAGTCCCGTACTCTTCTACGACTTTCTACTCTAATACTTCGAGAAAAACCGATTTGCACTTGAATCCTTACAATCCAACCAAAGAGCAAAACAGCTTCCAGGTGTTTTGGCTCTCCGCACTGCTTCATGGCCCTTATCCTTTCACGATTTATCTGCTCTATATAGCATGCTTGTGATCTGTCACAATCTTTCCTACTTACATCTGTGAGTTAGGGCCACTGAGTGCTATTTATTTAGCACTAAAGCATGTGAATGGCTCTACAAGACCTAGATAAGGCCCAATTATTTCTCCAAAGCGCTTACATAAAACAAGAATTAATCACAGGCCTGGGAATGATCAGAGGGCAAGAAAGCGGGGATTGTGATTAAAGTTGTAGAGCTACTTGTTTATACTCCTGCACACCATGGCAGGTTTTTAATGTCCGATTATTTAACATTATAGTACACTTCAAGTCAAATCTAATTCAAAATGCAAGGCATACATATTTCTTCCTGGTAGGCTAGGGATATGCACCGATTCTGATTAAAACATATGAGTTTCCCTTCAGCAATTTGGTTTTCATCTGTTATTTTACCAGAACTATGTGCTTGCAAGATGATAAGAGAATGGAAAAGGCTGACAGTAGTAAGTGAAACAGCAACATGGAATGCTTCATTCAAGGCTATGGAACACGTACCAGTTTTGAATGCACCTTGGCAATATTCTCAAATATCATATTGATGGCTCTTCAGCACTATCCCTTGGGAAATCACTGTATAGTACATAGAACCCTTTGTGAAAATTAGTGTCTTCCTACATCACAGTTACACTTTTGGTAACTAATAACCCACACAGTAAAAATTATACTTCAGTTCATTTCAGAAAGGGCATTTTCATTAAGCACAAATTCATCCAGCCTTCCATTATGAAGTCTGGTATTAGCATCTAATGAACCTAAACATCATCATGTTTTCCTGGAAGGCAAAGGCAAATATTTCTATAGCAGATAATTAAATGGAAATATAGTCATACATCTCCTTACACATATCTTTATTTTCTTCGCAAGTGAACTATTTCACCATTTTAGCATGGAAGGATTGGGAGTCTGAGGAGATTTCTCCTATGGTGTTTTCCTACAGTGATGTCTGCCATTATGCCCCACATGTTGCTTCCTAAAAGTGTAATGGTCCCATTTTAAAGAGTGTAGAAATCTCAACTGCTGTCTCTAGGTCAGTGGTTCTCAAAGCGTGTGGAGATGTGGGAAGAGAGGGTGGCAAGTGTGGCAGGGAGGTTCAAGGGCAACCAAAATAACTTTTAAATATTTCAGTGTAGTATAGTATCAAAACATTTTTTTCAAAAATGGGGGGAGAAATGGGGAATCTGGAGCCTAATCTGGTTTATTGTGGACTGACATTAGTTCTTTTGAGGTTCTTTTTTTTAGACATGCCCAAATTTACATAATAAACAATGGCATCAGACATTTTCTTATAAGGACTGTTACTCTATCTGGAGTTCATCTGAAAGATATCTGTGCACATAGCGGCCACAATCTGGAAAGCTATATGCGCAGATGGGCCCCTTCGTTAGTTCACGAAGGCCAGGTATTGTGAGCAGAGTCCCTTCCATTTTGGACAATTGGAAAATCCCAGCTGTGGTCGTAGCACTTGCACACTGGATCTCAGCCATTCTGTTTTTGAAGCATTTATCCTGTGGTCGTGAATTGCAGGTGTTGCATTAAGAGACAAAGCAAGAGGTGTGTCACAGAGGCAGAAGTTTCGTTTTGTTGTGCGTGCGAGAGAGAAGGGGGTAAATTCTTGCTTAACTCCATTGATATTTCTAGCCATTATTTACAGGTTAGTTTCAGCTACTTAGAAGTAAATGCAGACTTTCCTTTTCGGTATGCTAAAGCATAAAAGACACCTGAAATTATGTGTTATCCCTATCGGTGTGGTTGCTCGAGAGCAATCAGGCAAGATCCCTCACTGGTCTTTTCAAAGGCTTTATTATTGGTGCAAAAACATTTACAATGCAGAACGCCTCTATTCCATGTCTTGCTCAATCACTAGCAGAATCTGAGAGTGGAGGGTCCTTAAACTTTCCCCAGCAGAGTAGTTTCTTGACCCCTAGCCGACGCCTCCCCTCTCTGCGCGAAAGCCTACTGTGCAAGGAAGGCTTGGGTAAAGGGGGACCTCTCTCCTCCCCGCTTTGCTCAGGCAAGGTGTCCTGGCACCGCCTTGCATCCTCCGAGCCCTGCAGCTCTTCCCCACTAGAGGCGTGGCTTCCTTCCTCTGCTGAGGAAGTGCTGCTTCCCACGATCTTTGGAGGCTCTCTGTAATCCAGCTGCCCTCCCCCCTCTTGCCTCTCAGCCGATGGCAGTTCCCTGACATCCTGTGTCCACAATAATGCAGATTGGGCCCCTCAATGGAACCAAACAAAGCAGCCCAAATGTGCATGAAATATGGGAGCGTGTCCGAGACGGGGATGACCCTTAAACAAAGTGAGGCAGCAGATGCTTCCTCTGCTACCCTACAGCCCTCAGGTAGGGGCAGGGAGATGCTCTCCTGCAACCAGTAACTAATGCGCATGGAACAGATGAGGTGCTATCTTGTCTCCGGGCAGCAAAGTGTCTTGGGGCCACCCTGTTCTGAGTCCTTATAGATTTCTGTATGAAGGTGAATAGTGGGGGATGGGGCATGATACTAAAATTTAATTAAGCTTTTTTTTTTTTGTTATACACTAATTTAATTGCAAACAATGTAGTGATTGTAGGTAATGTCATCAGTGCAGTTACATTACATTCCACCAACAGCTAATTGTAACTGACAGTGCCCATGTCGACCCTTAAGTAGTTCTCATTCAGTTGCATCCAACATCGCACAAGTGTTTGTGTGATGTTTTCATCCAGAGTGGGATTTCCTCTTCCTTCCTGCCCCTGTATGCTCCCCACATCTGCAGAGCAGATATTGGGGGTGCAAGGGGAGAAGAGAGGAAAGAGAAGTCCTATTACAGCTGGGAAAATCTGTTCTGCTAGCAGCTGGTGGGCAGCCACAATTGGGTATCACTCACTGAGCTCAATAGGTAATACTTCCAGGTAAGTATAGTGTTACTGCTCAGATCCATTTATTTAGGCAGTTAAACTTTCCAGTTTAATTTTTTTATACTGTTTTATCAGCTGCTTCTGTCTGTACTTATTATTGTTGTCTTGGGGGTTTTCATTTGATTTAATATAGTTGTAAGCCACCCTGAACATTGTGTGCACAGTGGAAGGACAGGATATAAATTTTCAGAAATATATTCCATTGCTTTCACTGGGACTTATCCATGACTAACGCTTGCTGGGTTGAATCCTGAGTCCTCTGTCCTTGCAGAAAAAGTAACATTCATGTGGCCTTCCCCCCTCTTTTAAATAAACGTTGTCTTCAAACAAACTTACATTTGTTCATTGGTCAGAATTACTACAATTTAATAAATTACTTCCTTGATTTACTTCAATTTAAAGAATGTTGATCTGCCTTAGGATAATTATATTGACAATATATTTCATTAACTTGGAACATTTCTCTTTTATTCTGTAAGAAAGAAGCTATATTTTTCTACAGCATTTAAAGACACTTTATCTTTTCCTTAAAAGCAAAATGCTTTGCCACTAATCCCAGTTTTTGTCTCATACAACTCATTCTAGTGCCTGACATGTGTTTGTTTCTTAGGCAAACGTGTAAAACCCTTCAAGAACAAGGAGATTTCTGCTGTGCCTGGTGACAATTTCTGTTTATTCCACATACACACACACACAATATTCTGGCTCCACGTTTGGGGCAATAGTTGTCATGAATCCTACTATTGGTCGGATTCTCAGGAAGGGCCAGAAGGTTCGTTGAGGAGTAAAGAGTCAAAACCTCTCCCGAAAGATGTTCCAGCCTTGCTTTGTTACTCACAGAGCAGCAGGTGTGTACAAATACAGGTTTTCATAGTTGTAGCGGTATTTAATGTATTGTACTGTTTCTCAAACTCACAGAGCACCATTTAATCACAACATTACCATTAGAAAAATTAAACATTTTTTTTCCTCAAAGTATTATGGGGCTGTTTGTACGGACAATAAGTTTAAAAATAGCATCGTAGATTCGTTATTGACTACAGTAGCCACATCCTTTGTGTATTTGTGTCCTCATGTGTCTGGTCAAACAAGTGTGGCTTTTGCAGAGCTTTAAGTTATCCCCTAGTGAAGCCTTGTTTTCATCAGTGTTCTGTAATAAACCTGTATTGCAGGCACCTAAACACAGGATTACCATCCTAAATGTACAAAAAACATAGCACAACATATTCAAATATTTAAATCCCAATAATATTGAAAGCATGATGTTCTTAATCTCCCTGGATTATCCTGGCCTATAAGGATAAAAGCCAAAGCAAAAACATGGTTTTTTAAAAGTGTATTATGGTAAATGCTGCAATTACAGTGATATGTGATAGATTGAAATAAGAAATGTAACTTTTGTAACTTGATTATTTTTCAGGTTTAGGCTTTAACAGTGGTACCTTTGTTCCTGAACGCCCCCATTGTTGTACGTTTCGGTTCTCGAAGGCTGAAAACCCGGAAGTAAATGCTTCCGTTTTTGAACATTTTTCGGAACCCGAACGTGCGACGCGGCTTCCGCCAAGTGCAAGAAGCTCTTGCAACCAATGGGAAGCTGCACCTCAGTTTTCAAACGTTCCGGAACGGATTACGTTCGAGAACCAAGGTACCACTGTACATATTAAATCATTAGACCAACGTAAAATTCCATGCACTGTAGCCAGCAATATAGCATATTCCAAAACGGTGTTTAGCAGTCAACAAAGGCTTTCACAAACAGGTATTGAAAGCTCATCATAATCTGTGCCAGCCTTGTTTCAGAGAGGAGTTCCATAGAGCTCTATAGTAAAGGACTTCTCTCAGGTTACTGCACACTATGTCTCAGCTCATGGTGGCCCCACCAGGAGAATCTCCTCTAATTATGTTAGCAGACAGTCAGTTATATTTGGGAGCGGGTGTCCCTTTGTATATCCAGACTTGCAGAGTTGCACAGAGTTTAATATGTAAGCATGTGCACCTTAAATTTGGCTTTGTATCAAATTGGCAGCCAGTCTGAGCAGGATTGCCCTAGTTGTTTTTATTATTTATTACCGTATTTTTCACTCTATAAGACGCACCAGACCATAAGACACACCTAGTTTTTGGAGGAGGAAAACAAGGAAAAAAATATTCTGAATCTCAGAAGGCAGAACAGCAAGAGGGATTGCTGCGCAGTGAAAGCAGCAATCCCTCTTGCTGTTCTGGCTTCTGGGATAGCTGCGCAGCCTGCATTCGCTCCATAAGATTCACACACATTTCCCCTTACTTTTTAGGAGGGAAAAAGTTAAGTCTTATAGAGCGAAAAATACAGTAATTTTGTAATACCTGGCCATTTTCCCTGACAGGGACTCAAGGCGGCTTACAGATAAAAATAACAACAGTTACCAAACAATAGCCCATGTCTTCCTTACTTGCAATTTTACCTACAAGTTTAGAATTCTGTCTTTCATCAGATTTATATCCATGCTCATCTGTTATTTGTTCAGGTGTTTTCAAATTTCAAATTTATTGCATATGTGACAGTCGGGTCAATAGAATGTGCATATATATTTACTGGATTCACATATCTTCCCACTTTTACTTCTTGTATATTTTTGACATTTTGGGTTTAAGTGGTTCTAAATCTTGGACAAACAGCAAGGAGCACAGCCAACTTTTGGTCAATCCGAAAGAGGAGGGAGACATAAAAGCAAAATAAGAAAAGCATGGGCACCCAACAACTGACATTGCAGTGTACATTGTTATGAAGCTCTCCCTGCAGTTTTTAGTTTATAATGCACTTATGTCTCATAAAGAACTTTGTGTGTCCCAGTCAGTGCTAAACACTGAGCCAAAAAACACCTCTGCCTTTTATGTTTTCACATCTTCCCTTTGGTTGCAACCCTTTAACTTGTTCATAACAAGAGTTAAGGTGAGCAGTAAGGTGCCATGTTTGCTGGTAGCACCGAATATTTTAGGATTGTTAAAGCAAAAAGGGATAGCAACGAGCTCCAAAAGATTCTCTCCAGGCGGAGTAAGGAACATTAAAATGGCAAGTTCAATTAAGTTTCGGCAAGTATAACGTGATGCAAATTAGAAAGCAAATAGGCCAACACTACATTCATGCAGATGGCGTCTGTGACAGACTAGAAAGGGATCTTTTCGTTTCAGTAGATGAAAACATCAACCCAGTGCTTGACTGCTGTGATGAAGGCAAACTCCATGTTAAGGATCCTTAGGAAAGAGATGGTTATCTTACAGCTTTTGCCACCTGTTATCAATAATATTCATAGATTAAAATATCTTTTGGGGGGTCTCTGCTTTTTAAGAGCTTTAATTGGCTCATGCTATTGGTTTACAGTTTTTAAATAATTTGAATGGGCGAGAGGAAAATTCAGTAGTTAACAACAACGTTAAAGACAATCCTTCTTTCAAAATCCTTCTTTCAAAATCAAGTTTTACTTACCGTATTTTTCGCTCCATAAGACGCACCAGACCATAAGACGCACCTAGTTTTTGGAGGAGGAAAACAAGAAAAAAAAATATTCTGAATCCCAGAAGCCAGAACAGTAAGAGTGATCTGGCTTCTGGGATAGTCATGCGAAGCCTCTTCAGGGCAGCGGGATGAAGGCTCCCCTGCCCTCAAGAGGCTTCGCACGGCTAAGCCAGAAGCCAGGACAGCAAGCGGGATCGCTGCACAGTGATCCCTCTTGCTGTCCTGGCTTATGGAATAGCCGCTCGAAGCCTCTTGAGGGCAGCGGGAGGAAGGTTCCTCCAAGAGCCGTGCTCCCTTTAAAGAGCGGGGGGGAAGCCCCCAAGAGCCGCACACACGGAGCGCTGAGCAGAGCCTCCCACCTGCATTTGTTCCATAAGACGCACACACATCTCCCCTTACTTTTTAGGAGGGGAAAGGTGCGTCTTATAGAGCGAAAAATACAGTATCTCTTTGACGTTAAATGGACTTCCCTTCAAAGTTAAAGGGATTAAGCTGCCAGGAAGCTAGGTCAGTTGCATTGAACCATTCTGTTCCTAGATAATAACAGAGAAGCTTGAGTTGACCCACGTGAAGAAATTGAGGCAGGAATCAGTGAAGATGGAAACGCCAGGCCAGGGCTGTTACTGTTTGTGGCAATAAGTAGAAAAGACACAAAACAAGAAGCACTGAGTGCATAGAGCTGACATAAATAGTGCTTAAACAGTAGGTTATGGACAACTCCAAATTTGTGAGATCACAGGTGTTTTTGAGTAGATTATTGCAGTTATCACATGATAGCCTAGCTATTTGGAACTTCTCTTATAAGACTCTTTTCAGCAAGACAGTATATTTGTGGGAAACTCTTTGCCCATTCAGCCTTGCGAATTGGATGTCAGCTGCTCATCTGAATCTACCCTAGTCTGTAAGAACTAATAAGCATCAACTGGTAGCATCACAAGACATAAATGGTTTAGACATTAAATTGCTGCTGGGCCACTTGGAAAGCTACTGAAAGTAAAAATGTTCAGGGCACTCAGTGATAGGCAGCAACATCTACATTTACTTCAAACAGCTAATTGTGTAACATGATTTTACAGAAGTGCAGAATATTGTTTTTACCCATGAGGATGAAACACCTAGCAATTAAGGTGAAATCAGAAATAAATTCTGAGTTGCAGGACTGCAGTTTATTTGCTTTGTTTTACTTGCAGTTCATATAATGCCAGTTGTTTAGAATAACGTTGCAGATGACAAGAAAAAGGCACAGTACATTTGTACTGATTTTATAATATTCCTATTCTGGGATTGTTAACTCCAAATATATGTTGGAAATGAATCAAGTTGTTGTTGTTGTTGTTGTTGTTGTTGTTGTTGTTGTTGTTGTTGTTGTTGTTCTTCTTCTTCTTCTTCTTCTTCTTCTTCTTCTTCTTCTTCTTCTTCTTCTCCTCCTCCTCCTCCTCCTCCTCCTCCTCCTCCTCCTCCTTCTTCTTCTTCTCCTCCTCCTCCTCCTCCTCCTCCTCCTTCTCCTCCTCCTCCTCCTCCTCCTCCTCCTCCTCCTCCTCCTTCTTCTTCTCCTCCTCCTCCTCCTCCTCCTCCTCCTTCTTCTTCTTCTTCTTCTCCTCCTCCTCCTCCTCCTCCTCCTCCTCCTCCTCCTCCTCCTTCTTCTTCTTCTCCTCCTCCTCCTCCTCCTCCTCCTCCTCCTTCTCCTCCTCCTCCTCCTCCTCCTCCTCTTCTTCTTCTCCTCCTCCTCCTCCTCCTCCTCCTCCTCCTCCTCCTCCTCCTTCTTCTTCTCCTCCTCCTCCTCCTCCTCCTCCTCCTCCTCCTCCTCCTCCTCCTCCTCCTTCTCCTCCTCCTCCTCCTCCTCCTCCTCCTTCTTCTTCTTCTTCTTCTTCTTCTTCAAGAAACACCTTATAAATAAGATTCATGGGGAAATGTAATAATTTGGGACTTGTTTTCTGACTTTTAAGCCACTAATGTCTGTCACTGGATAAAGAACTTCATGTTCACCTAGGCTTTTTAAATAACTGATGGAGTCCGTTATTCTCACAATTTTTCAATCTGTGCTTTAACTTGTAAGGGTGGTATGAGGTACTTGAGTGTATTTATGTTGCTTTTGATTTATTTGGCTTTATATCTTCTGTATATTCTAATTGCTTTCTTATTTATTGCAAACCACACTAAGCACTTTATGTTATGCCACCAGTCAGTCAATCAGTCTTTGTTTCCATCATGTTTTCAAGCTTATTTCTGCAGCCATGGAAGTATTCATGGCAGGATGTTCCACATTTTGATTTTTTGACGTGGAAAGCTTGATAGAAAATACAATGACAATAAAAAACAAGATGATGAATGATGCCCAAACCAATAAGTTGGTTTTTTCTCAGAATGCACAACTGTGAACTATGTTACCACAATCTCCTTTGCTTAGACGAATCACATACTGTTGATGATTTGATGAAAACATACAGCACAGTTTCCAAAATCCTTATAACAAGTGCCTTCCCATCTGTTCAAAAATGTGTTTTCAGACAAACTCTGCTTTCCACAAAGTACAGAAATCATAAACTACCTCCATTCCACTTGCCTGGCTGTAGACGTCTACTGTAATCTATTACAACAGTCACACAGGAGACTTGATATTATTTGTTTTCAGGCCATGCATACATGTGTCACAGACTCAGGAGAGGAATTCCCCATTCCTTCCCATGTAGGAGGGAATATCTCTTCTTATGTGACATTTCTAAGTATTTATGGCAAAAAATTACACACACACACACTATTAATTTTATTTATTTATTAGATTTATTTCCTGCTCTTCACCAGAACACCCCAGGAATAGCTCAGTTGGAAGAGCATGAGACTCTTAATCTCAGGGTTGTGGGTTTGAACCCCACGTTGGGTAAAAGATTCCCGTATTGGGAGGGGGTTGGACTAGATGACCCTCGTGGTCCCTTCCAACTCTACAATTCTATGAATAAACAGTTATTTTTTTAAAAAAACCCCAGATATAACCGTTACAATTATCAAACAAGTAAAACTATTCAAAATAGAAGAGAACATGAAGAAGGTAAGAAATAATAAGAAAAAACTGACAAAACTTAAAACTTATGGGGGTATGGTATAAAGGGGAGGCCAGAAGAGTATGCTTACTACACAAAAAGGTGTGGGACAGG